GCACTCTGAACCCAGGGCTCTCCCACCAGCCAGCACGCTCTGGGCGCTGGAGCCACCTCGAGGGGTGCTAGGTCTGCCCCAAGCAGCTCTTCACAGGGTCTCCATGTTGTGCTTTTAATTCTGCTGGCAGCTGACTGTGATGTGCAGGGGCATCCGACACTGCTGAGGAGGCTGAGCTGGGCTTGCTGGGGAGGGGCTGCAGTGATGGTGACCCCTGGGTGACAGTGACCTCTGGGATGTGGCACAGCTCCTCCCAGTGTCAGGCTGACGGCACAGGTCACGTCAGGGCAGGGCTGGCTAGGCCAAGTGACTCAGGCGCTTGTGGTGACCCTGCCCAGCCGTGGGCTCACCCCACCCTGGGGGGGGCGGCTCGGGAAGAGGCGAGCACAGAGCTGGCCGCGGTGTTAACCCTGTCCAACCCCCCGGCAGGGGACAAGGGGACACAGCACGGCTCCAGCCCCTCCTGGCTCGGGATGTGTTGTCCCTGCACTGCTGGCGGGGCCGGGGCAGGCGGCACGTGCTGCTGAGTGACCTGCAGCCCCCCACACACAGCGGGGGCCCCTTGTGAGCCACGGGGGGGGCGTTTGCCTGGAGCTCCGACAGCTCTGAGCAGGGGGGAGGTGGCAACAGATGGAGCTGGGGAAGGGTTTGCCTCTTCCTTGCCCAGGGATCCCACTCTGCTACCTCCCCCCGACCCTGAGATGGAGTGGCAGGAGACTGTGAGTCTCTGGCCCAGCCTAGTGTCATTAAAGGGGCTGAAAGAAGAGCCCTGTGGGACACAGACAGCGTTTGTGACATTGGCCAAGGCATCCATGGGGAGCTGGGGTTGGGGTGGTTACAGCCTTGGTCACCCCAGAGCCTCCTCCCTCCATCCCAGCCCTCAAGGGACAGGGACACAGGCCACGGTGCTGAGTCCCTGGAGTTTAACAGTGAGGGGGAACAGCAAGGTGACCTGTGGGGACAGGGGCTGGGTGGGGCTGGAGGAGCCCCTGGGCTCTGGGGACACAAATGGCTCCTCCAGCCCCACACTGTGTGCCCCTGTTCCCAAGAGGGGCTGCTCTTGCTGGTGATCTGGGCAGGAGCAGCCCCTGAGGGTTCAGCTGCTGCAATAGCAGCACAAGCAAAGGGTTAAGCTGAGCTCTACGCAGGGGAGGCCGGCCAGGCTCCCACCCCTTCCCTGTGCTCTGATTCTCCACATCCCCTGTGTTTGATTTGCACCCTGCTGAGCAGCTGGGGAGGTTGGGGCCCTTGTGAGTACTGGGAAAGGTCTCGGTGCTCCACCGAAGACAGCCCCAATACCAGTGGAAGAGCCTGGGGTGTGCAAAGGTACCGCATCCCCAATCCTGGGGGTCTGCGAGGGGGAGAGCATGGAGCTGGGGTGGGCAGCCCTGGAGGCTGAGCGGGGTTCAGAGGTGCCCCCCAGCCCTGGGTACCCCCCAGCAGGGCCCATCCCCTCACCCTGGCTGTGCTTGTGTCTCTGCAGAGCTGACACCATGAAGCAGCTGATCCTTTGTACCCTGCTCCTCTTGGCCCGTGGGGAGCTGGCCAGGGCATGTCCTGCAGGCTGCCAGTGCCATGACACCAAGACCATCCTGTGTGCAGCCAGGCGGGGCCAGACGGTGCCCCAGGGGCTGCCCCCCAGCACCCTGTCCCTCTACGTCTTTGAGAACGGCATCACAACGCTCAGCGAGGACAGCTTTGCAGGGCTGCCTGCCCTCCAGCTCCTGGACCTCTCACAAAACAAGATCACCAGCATCCAGAGAAACATCTTCCAGCCCCTGACGGAGCTCGTCAACTTGGACCTGTCCTCCAACCAGCTGCAGGAGATCACCAATGAGACCTTCCATGGGCTGCGGCTGCTGGAACGGCTCTACCTGCAGACGAACAGGATCCAGCACATCCACGCTGCTGCCTTTGACACGCTGGAGAATCTGCTGGAGCTAAAGCTGCAGCACAACCAGCTCAGGGCTGTGCCCCCCCTCGACCTGCCCAACCTCCTGCTGCTGGACATCAGCTGGAACAAGATCCCTGCCATTGCACCAGGGGCTTTCCATGCCGTCAGCATTGAGTCCCTGAAGATCGCAGGGCTGGGCCTGACGAGCTTAAACGAGGAGCTCTTCCAGGTCCAAAACAACCTCCACGAGCTGGACATCTCTGACAATCTGCTGGAGCGCGTCCCAGCCGTGCTGCGGCGCCTGGGCAGCCTCACCAGGCTCAGCCTGGCCGGCAACGCCCGCATCTCCCAGCTGCCAGCTGAGGACTTCCAGAGCCTCCACAACCTCCAGGAGCTGGACATCAGCAACCTCAACATCAACACCATCCCTCGAGATTTCTCCAGCTTCTTCCCCAGGCTGCGGGCCGTGACGGCTGCCGGCAACCCCTTCAACTGTATCTGCCAGATGAGCTGGCTGGTGCAGTGGGTGAACACCAGCGGCGTGCTCCTGCGGCGCCCTGAGGAGACGCGCTGCCACTTCCCCCCCAAAAACTCGGGCAAGCTCCTCCACCACCTGCAGTACACCGACTTTGGCTGCCCCACTGTCACCCCCACGCCCACCACGGCCCACACCACCACGCTGCCACCGCCCACGCCGCTGCCCAGCACCCACCGCCCGCCGCCGCCGCCCAGCACCGCCGCGCCCACCCCGAGGCCCAGAGAGCCCCAGGGCAGCTCCACGCTGGTGCCCTTCAGCGGCGCCCCGGCCCCCACCAGCCCCCCAGCGCCCATCTGTCCCCCCCGCACGTGCCTGAACGGCGGCACCTGCCACCTGGGCACCCAGAACCTCCTGGAGTGCCTGTGCCCCGCAGGCTTCGCTGGCGTGTACTGCGAGGTGGAGGCGAGGGGAACGACGGCAGCCCCGGGCACGCCGGCCCTGCCACCTGCCCAGCGGGTCAGCATCGCCCAGGTGGGCAGCACCTCCCTCAAAGTGGACCTGCACAGCTACATCCAGTCCAAGGCGCAGCTGAAGGGAATCCGCCTGAGCTACCGGAACCTGTCGGGGCCGGACAAGCGGGCGGTGATGCTGCGCCTGCCGGCCTCGCTCTCCGAGTACACGGTGCGGGCGCTGAAACCCAACTGCACCTACCGCGTCTGCATCGGGGCGCTGGGCGAGGCGCCCAAGGAGGAGCACTGCGCCGAGGCACACACCCTGCCCCTCAGCCTGCAGCAGCACTCCCCTGTCACCCAGAGCCAGGACCCCAACCTCGCCCTGATCCTGGTCCCTGCGCTGGCTGCCATGCTGCTGCTGCTGGTGGTGGTGACGGCCGCCATGTACTACTGCCGGCACCGCCGCGCCAAGGCCCGTGCTGGTGCTGGGGTGGACACCGGCCCGCTGGAGCTGGAAGGGGTGAAAGCCTGCCTGGAAAATGGGGATTTGAGCAGCCACGGCTGCAAGGTGCCAGAGGCGGCCATGCTTTCTGGCGGCTCTGAGTGCGAGGTGCCGCTCATGCAGTCACACTACCCCAGCAACAACAACACCCCGGGGCTCAAACCCTCCTACTTCTGAACCCACAGGGCTTCCAGAGCCCTGGACACAGGAGGGCTGAGCTCCAGAGGCAGCACCTGGCCGTGTCCCTTTGGGATACGGATTGCCAAGGAGCTGACTGAACTGAGGCAGAACCCCCTCATCCCACAACGTGCAATTTCCCAGAGGCTGCCATGCTTCAGGAGGAGACACGAATTTTACTGCTCTGTGCCTTGATTTCTGTGACTCTACCTAGAAGGTGCGCAGCGAAAGAGAAGGGGGGGTTAATTTGGGGGTTGAGGGGCTTTTTTAGCTCCTGCTAAAGAGAAAGCTGCTGTGACTGGGCTGAGGGACGCCCACGTGCTGGTAACAAGGGTCCTTCAGTGGAGCACGGCCCGTGACTCGACTCCCTGGAAGCTGATGTGAGCAATACGGCCCGGCCGAGGTGCTGGGACCCTCGGGACCCCCCGGGCCAAAGGAAGTGCCGAGCAGGCAAACCGGGAATTGAAGCTTTAAGAACTCAGAGAGAATATTTATACATCGTTATTTCCCATTTCTTCTGGGAAAACTTTTTTTAGTACAGGTTTGTGTACATCTCTTTTGTAAGGCAGATCAGAAGAGGGTGTCTTTTTGTAAAAAAAAAAAAAAAACCAACCCAAAATGATTAAAATAACAACAACAAAAAGTTCTGTGCAGCCCTGAGTACCTCGGCAGGCACTGCCCGTCACAGGCAGGGGTGTGGGCAGTGTGGCGTGTCCCCTGCAGAGGAGCGGGAAGGTCGGCTGTGTCCTCCCGTTGTTGTTGGCGAGCACCGGGATGAGTCAGGGCAAGGGAGGGGGGAGTTTTCCCGACTCTGGGCGTTTTTACCCCTAGGGCGCTGCCCCCCACCTCGGGCGCTGAGGAGGTGTTCCCAAAA